CAGGTCCTTTGTGTTTGCTTTTATTAATAATTCTATTTGGAACATTCTCAACTAAAAATAGAAAGAAATTAATTGGCCAACTAAAATTATATAGAAAAAAAATTAGCTGGGCATGGTGGCACATGCCTGTAGTCCCAGCTATTCAGGAGGCTGAGGCAGAAGGATCGCTTGAGCCCAGAAGTTTGAGGTTGCTGTGAGCTAGGCTGATGCCAAAGCACTTTAGTATGCTTCTCAGCTCAGTTGTTGGTTTAAAAAAAAAAAAAAAAAAAAAAAGAAGCTGGGTGGAAGGTGAAGCCGCTCTCAGGAGACAGGGAGAGGCTCGGTGAGACTAAGTTTTTGCCCTGGGGGCTGGAGAATGGTCAGTTTGGGCTTTGAGCAGATGTGAGAGAAGGCCCAGTGGGGCTCTCCAGTGAGGCATTTGAAGGACTAGGGCTGGTGGACGTTGCAATTCAGAGTCACCCAAGGAGAATGAGAAGAGGGGTGCTTGGCAGGACCTGGGGACCATGAAGAGACTTCCCCTAAAAGAGATTATGTGGGAAGAGAAAAACAAGGAGAGAGAATAGGGAAGACTGAATCAAAAGCTGGGAGAGAAAAGCTTTCAGAGGCGACATTGTTCGGCTGTGGCACGTGCCTGATGCTCACTGAGGGCAGCTTGCTGGGCTGGTTGACAGGGAAGAGTGCTTTGGGCAAGGGAAGAGCCAGTGCAAACACCTGGAGGCAAGAGTGTCCCTGGAGTATTTGAGAGCAGAGACCCACGTGGCCAAAGGAGAGTGAGAAGAGGCGAGATCAGAGGGAAAGGAGCCAGATCATAGAGGGTTTCGTCGGCCACCGGCATGTGCTACGTGAGATGAGACCCACGGGAGGATGTTGAGAAGATCTCACAGTCTCCACTGCTGATTCTCACACATGTAATTATGTAATGTAACCTGTAATTATAGCCTGTATTATAACCTGACACGTGCTACTAAGGAAAACTACACAGACTTTGCGAGTTTGTAACAAGGGGTCCTAGTGGAAAGAAAAAGACAGGAATTGAAGAAGACTTCCCTGAGTGAGTAGGAATGGAGCGTGGCCTGCCTCCCCCTCTGTCTCCTCACTTGGAATTGTTGGGGCATCTCTCTCAGGAGGATCAAGGGGTCAGGACCTACCTGAAACCGAATCTTCTCTTTCTTCTGGGCCCTGGCCCAGGCCCGGTCACATAAGAAGCTTCAAGAAGGGGCGGCTGAACTGAAACTCGTCTGTGAGGATGCCTTTTATGGTCAGAAGCTACAACTGAGAACTGGGGCCCTGGCTCAAGCACTAGATTTGGGTATGTCTGTGGTTTTTCTGGTGTCAATATGAGCTCAGAAAGTTCACTTGACTTGAGTGTGTCTCTTTGCCCATTCTGAGGTTTCCCATGAGCCCTTCATTCACACCTTCAAAATGAGTTTTGACTTATAAACAGTTCTTTAGGCCACATAGGCCTCCCATCTTCATTTGTCAAATCTCTCCCTTTCTTTACCCACAACCATTTTTCCCTGAGCTCGCCTGGCCTGTGCTGCCCCTCACAGCAACTCTCTCCATCATGTGGTCCACTGAGGCCACAGAATCCTTTTCCAAATATGAGTACTTGCCATTCACTTAGAATAAAGGAAAACTTAGAATTTATTTCTGTGACCCCTCAGGTCCAAATATAACTTCCCAACCAGCCTCCTGATAGATATTTCATTTTTCATTTGAGTTGAATCAGAATTTGGCATAGAGCTTGTCACAGAAAAGGATCAGAAATCATGTTCTGTGTTCCAGAGCTCCATAACAGTACAAAGAAGGGATTAAAAGCAGTAACAAAATATCAACCCACTGGAAAATGAGGGTAGGAAGGGGAGGAGCCTCACACAGAGAAGGTTTTCTGGAAGGGGTGAGGGTAGAGTCAGCCCTGAGAGGCAAAGGACCCAGTGGCCTTGAGAAATTCACTATCTGAGGCTAAGCCCTCTCTTCCCTAAAATGAGGGGACTTTCAGAGGGAGACTGAGGAGAAGTCTGGATGCCCTCTGACCAGCACCGCTCTCTTGCCAACCCTATTCTCCAACCTTCTTACTTCTGCATCTGAAACAGGCCAGAGTTCTGCCCCCAGGGGGCGCTCCAGCCACCTTGCCCTACCTGGGGAGCAATTAGCGCCATGGTTGGCGCTGTCCATGGTTCTGGAGCAGAGCTGGACTCTGAGTTCAGGAAACTCCCAACTCTGCTGCGGATTCAAATTCACAGGGCCAAGGTCCTGAGCCGTAGGTCAGCAGGGTACCTAAGTCAGAGAGGCTTTGAAAAGGCTGAGTTCCCTCTTGGAAAGAAGGGTCAGGGGAGGGACTCCTTTCTGTGCTTTCCCTCTCCCTCTCACCCCACTTCTGGATCATACCTATGACCTTACCTATGACCTTACCTATGACCTAAGGACCATACCTGGTGCTAGCGGGGGAACAAGGCATTTTTCTGAGGTTCCAAATTACACTGATGTTGCTGGTTCATGGACCAAAGTGTGGTCCATGCCTGGATCTCTCTTCAGATAAGAGACTAGGAAAAAGATTGGATATTCATTGGAGCTCCCTGGTTTCCGGCTTTGGGTTGTGCCTTTCTGTATATTGTCCCATTTGTTCCTCATGAGCAATTTGAGAGGGGGTTGGTTAATAACGCTCCTTTGACGGGGTGGGAAACTGAGACTCGATGTGGTATTTTCCATTTCTATGGAAATTTTTGGTAAGAAGAATGAGGTTTTATCAAATTTTTGTCATAATCTCTTTTAATAAAATTATTTTTTCTTCAAAATTTTCAACAAAAGATGACTATCAGGACATCAGACATTTCCTAGCTTGCAGTATTTTATGTACTTATGTCATGAAAAATACATTTGCCATTCACATTGTGTTATCATCTTTTAGGCTGAGAAATAGAACAGGAAGTCATGCCAGGAACCCTGGAACCCCTTTGTGTTTCATCTTGTCCAAACTTCTTCTCTGTGAGTTACCACCTTACTGATATTTGGGATCATCTTTTTTTCCTACCTTTGCCTATCAGCATACCTGTGTATGTATGTTGGAACAAGAATGGTTGCTCTCAAACTTCATGTAAATGGAACAATGTAGTATTTTGTATGACCAAATAGGTCTACACCAGCTTTTATTAAAATTAATGTTGGCATAATATACAACATGGTCTCCTTTTACTTTTGACCTTCTCTATTATCATACTTTAGATGCATATAATGTAAAAAACATATAGTTGGAATATTAATCCAAGCTGATTCTCTGTTTTTAACAAAAGCATTTATCCAATCATTTTTAGTGTGCCACCCATTCTACATTACTTTATCTTTCAATTATTGTTTTTTTTTACAGTACACTTTTAACTACTATTAGGTTATGTTATACATTATGATTCTATTCTTTTAGTTATTGCAATAAAAATTACAGCATGCATAATTAACCTATCAAAGTCTTTAGTAAACGAAAACCACTCTATCCTCTTGGATAATATATGGATGTTGGGAAATGTAAAATGTACTTACTCCACTTTATACTTAGCTGTTCTTATTGTCAGGAATTCTAAAAACTATCTCTTGTTTTTTTCCTACAAGTAATAAACTCCCCCATTTATTTGCTACAAAAGATCTTTATTGCATCCTCATTTTGAGTTATCTTTCCTGGGTGTAGATTATAAATTGATGTTAGAAATAGTGTTGCTGCTGATAATTTAGCTGTCAATTAAACTGCCCATCTTTTGAAGGTAATCTGTCTTTTTTTTCTGGTGGCTTTCATATTTTCTCTTTGTCTTTGGTGTTCTTTGACTTACCCTTGCCTTAATACACACTCAATGCAGGGAAGGTCTCCTATGACATTTCCTGCCTTGGGCTGGGCCATAGCCTTGACTGTCATTTCCAGGGACATGCAGAAGACCACAGAACCAAAGCCCACGTTTTCAGTATAGGCAAATGCCCTTGGGAATTTTGGCATTTGGCTTAGATATCCTGCTTGATTCTCTGGGTTCAGGCTTTCCCCTAAATTTTGGCCTTGTAAGTATAGGTATTTAAGTATTCTATAGTTTTCAAGTGAAGAATTTTTTTCTATTCATTTTTTTCCCCCAAAGGATTTGATTTTTTCAACGCAAGTCTTGATCAAAATCATCTCAACTCAATTCCCTATGGTTCTGAAGATGGGGTTTGGGTGGTGGGTATTGGGAATCAGTGCCATCCCAGTAGCACACTGGAATTGTCCACTCCTTTCCTCGTCACCACTTTCTAAAGTTTGGAAAATAACACTGTCTTTTATCTGGGTTTGAGTGCTGCTGGAGAATTTTTGGCTGATTTTTCTTTAGTGCTTTTTTTTTTTTAATTTAGATTAGTTCAACTTTATAAGAGGGAGAAAATGAGCTCTTTTCCAGTCCACCCTTTCAACCCAAGAGCATCTGTGAACGGACAAGATGGTGTGAGCCAGATGAGAGCAAGGTGGCACGGCTTCCAGGGGAGGGACCTCAAATTGCAAAGAGTGGTGTGAACAGGCACGGAAGGCTTAAGGAAGGGTGGGCCAAGAGGAAAGGATGAAATTGGTAAACAGCAGGGTGATCATAAAGGACTTTAAATGCCAAGGAGCAGTGTTTGTGATGTGTTTGTGATATGTTGTCTAAGGCCAGGGAGCCATGACTGGATTTGGGCAAGAAAGAGTCAGAGTCAGCTCTATCCCTGTGGGTCCCATGAGTGAGACGGGGATGGACTGGAGGTGAGGGATATCCTGGAAGGATTGGCAGGTGAAATGGGGCAAGGAGATGACCCCGGAGAGGACATATCAATCAGATGCCACATCATGAACCGAATGCCAGACTGGGGAGCTGGTCTTTCCTGGGGAGTCTGTGAAGAGTTCTGAGAAGTGGGGTGATGTCAACACATTGCTGTCCTTTTCTCTGTGCCTGGTCACCCCCAGCCTCGGGACAACTTGCCAGGAGGACCTTTCTGTTTGAGGAAGACAGACCAGCAAGCACTGAACACCCACCACGTGCCAGGACCTGTGTTGGTTGATTTCCACGTGTTGATTTCTTTAATGTTGACAACAAACTTTCAGGTAAGACAGATAATCTCTGATTTATAGGACGGGAAATGGAGGCCCAGAGAGAGGAAGTGAATTGCTTGATAACAATGCCTTAGAAAGTGCTGGAGCCTGAGTTTGAGCCCATCGCTGTAATTCCGTGCACCGTCTTTGTTCTGCTGTACCTGGGAACACTCACACAGCAGTCAATATCAGTATTGTCACAAGCGCTCTTGGTGCCTCAACACAGGACCCTAACTGGTCCCGTCCCCCAGACCGGCTGTGGTTCCTCCTGCCAGGACTGAGTTCTGGGCGAGTCCTCGCTTGCTCGTCTTGACCTCTGAGTACTCTGTGGTGCGTCTGGCCTTCTGCTCCTGAGGCTCCCTCGCCTTCGCCTCCGGAAAGCTGAGGGAGGCGTAATAGAGCTCCTGCGCTCCCGAGGGGCAGGTGTCCCTCGCAGGGGACTCCTGGTCTGGAGGGCTGTCTGGCCGGGGCTTTTGCCTGGAACCCTGATTAAAGGGGAGAGAAAGGAGTCATGGCAGGAACCAAGAGGCAGGCGAGGTGTAGTGAATTCTTACCATTTTATGTCACTTTGGCATTCATTTACAATGTAAGCTGGACTTCCCCATACCAGAAGCAGGCTCAGTTACCCTTGAGACAGTTTCTAGTTCCTCACAGTGGCTAATTCAGATATTTGCCTTATACAACCACCTCCTGGTGACCACCTCCCTGTGGGACAGCTGGATACAACCTACTGGACTCACCCCAACCCCACACCTGTCCGGCCTGCTCAACTCTGCTGTAGTGACCACCTCTCGGGCACCGCGTGACTCCACAGAACTTCCGCCTGGCTGCTCTACCCCCGCCGGCTGCAGCCCCGGGGAAGCCTGCCAGAGTAACACCTGCACCCCGACTCAGGATTTGGCTGCAGATTCCCTCCGCCGGTTGCACAGCGTGTGTGTCCCGGACGGCTCCTCCCTCCCTGCTGGCCCCGTGAGGGGCTCTGCCTGCTCCTCTCTGGGATCTGTAAGTAACAAACTGCTCCTGCTATTTCACGAGTCTTGTTGGGCTGCCTCCTCTGCGTCTCACCTGACCAACACACCCTCGCCCGACTTCCTTCCTGGTCAGGGCTCTCCTACAGAACAGCTGTCTTGGCAGAAATAAAATGGACACAGATCACACGAGAGCCTCGAGGGCATCTGCCAGCACAAACGAGTTTCCCGAGAGAGGGACGCCCGGTCATGGGCCGAACACTCAGGCATCACGCTGTCTGCCGGTATAAAGAATATTCCGTGAACGGCACGCTGCAGACATTCATGACAAACCCTGCGTGTTCCTCCCAGGCAGGGCTAGAGTTTGTGACCACTCTCCAGAGAGGGGCCTCAAGACAATACAACACACGGTCCCTAGGGGGAAGTTGGGCTGATGTGACATTTATCCCGTTGTCCTTTTATTCCACATACCTCTCCTATGAACTCAACTATTTACTCACTCATTTAAAATTTTGTAATACTGTGGTTTATTAGACCATATTGAGGGCTAACTAATCACATTGCATCCTCACAAAACAACAGTATGAAAGATACTGTAATTATCCCCACTTTACAGATAGAGAAACTGAGGTGGAAACAGGGTAGGTAGCTTGCCCAAGGTCTCTCATCTAATAAATGGTGGAGCCAGAATTCAGCCCAGCCTGTGTCCCTTGCCAGCTGTGCAGCGTGACACAGACCCTCATCTAGGCAGCTTACAGTCCGGTAGGAGGGGTGGATTACAGATGAAGCAAACTTCTACCTTCAGCTGCATTACCAGATGTTTCATGTGCAAACTAGAAAAGAGATGGCAATTCTGGATCCTGGACACAGGCCCCATAAAACAGAAACAAAACAAAGCAGAGCCCAAGTCCCCGAGCAAAGATGGCATGCATACACTGGTAAGCACCTCCCTTCCCGCCCCCACCTCGGCCCGCACCCCTACCCATCATGCTAAGGAAACGTATGTTGAAAGCAACATTAGCCTTCAAATAGTAGCTCAGATTTTTTTTTTTAATAAAAGGATTCCAGGTTAGGAATAAATGGTTTCACAATGTCAGAAAAAAAGTACGAGCAAAAGGAAATGACAAAGTAGCTAAATGCAATGACATTACTGTACACAAAGAGAGGAGAATAAGGACATGTGCCCACCAGCAGCCTTATAGTATATGCAAAAATGGTTAAATTGATAACCATAAGATAAGATACAGGTCAGATTAATATGCAGGATAAAGCAACATGTTCACTTTTTTACTCAATAATTCCTTGCTGAGAACTTGCTATGTGTGAGGTGCTGTTCTTGCAAATGAGGACATGAGAGGGACTGAAACAGCCCAAAATACCTGCCCCATGCGGTTCCTTGTTAGAGGAGGGGAACAGTAACACTAGGTAACCGCTGTGGGTGAGCTCCCTGTGGGCTAGGCACTCTTCTGAGCACTCCTTCTAACAATCCAGTGAGACATGAATCCAGCATCTTAGTGTCCCATCTCCAGAAGAGAAAACAAAGAAATAGAGAGGTTCATTAGTTTATCCAAGGTCCCACAGCTTGTAAGTAGGTGAATCCAGAACTTAAGTGCAGGACGTCAAACTCCAGGGACTAGGCTGTGACTTGCTTTACCATTCTGCCTACAGTACAAAAATGCGCAGAAGGATTGAAAGGAAAGTGATGGGAAAAACCAAAGCTCTCTCTACCATAGTTCTTGTCAAGATAGTGAATTCGCACATGTTACTGGCTCTCTTCTCCAAGATCCAACAACAGAGGAACGAAGGAAAGAACTTCTGGATAAACAAACTTTTATAAATCCATCAGTGACTGACCAATCAATCACACCGAAATCCCTGGGGGAAGGGAGGGCTAATTTGAGCAGATGGGCTGGGAGAGCTGGGGAAGCTGCCGCGTGGGCGGGGGCAGCTGGCTGGCTGGTTGATGAGAAGATGGGTTTCCCCAACACACTTGAATTCTGCTCCTTTCTCTTCTCTGCCCTTGCCTTGGGACAATCACTGGCTGCCCCTCGCTGCAGAATTCAGAGTATGGGCAGGAACGATGTGCAGGTGTCCATGAGGCCAGTGTTGGGTAAGCACCCAAGGCCCACCAGGGCGAGGGGAAGAACAGAGGTTGGGGCTCACTGGCCTTTGACCTTCTCATTTCCATTTTCTCCACTCCAAGCTCCCCAGGCTGGTGAATTGCAATCCAGGGGGAGCCTCTGTCCAGTGACCCTTCTCTATGAAGGTCTGAAGATGAAGGGGTGACTTAAACTGCCTTCTTGAGGTGACAGGAAGTGGGAGTGGCTGGCCATAGCGCTGGTTCCCGGGGTGCTCTAGCCTGGGGCCTGTCCCCATCTCTCCTTTGAGCTCAGCACGCCCAACACAGGCCAGCGTCTCCCTACATCCATTCAGTAAACACTGCCAGACAGAGGAGCCCAAGCCCAGGGGCGTATGAGCTTACAGCCCAGAAGATGGGGGGACTGAGGAGAAAAGCAAATCAATGGAACCTTGCAGACCACCTGAAGCACAGGTATTAGAATGCTTCGATCCAGAATTTAAATTATGCATACTAAATGCACTAAGAGAGGTTAGCAATAACATTAGCAGCTTGGAAACAGGCACAAAAATTTATGCCAATAAAGTGTGTATGTAAAACGAATGTGAAACATAAACAAGAAATGATGTACTTTATGCAAAAAGGGCGTGTGGAAATATTATATCTAAAAAGCATAACAGGGAGAACACAGTGGATGGAGGGAAGAATAGAATGAGTACAACTGAGGGCTAGTCAGCAAGCTGGAAGGGCCGTTCGGAGTAACCCTAAAAGGAAATAGGGAAGGGTGAGGAACAGAACGTGTGACAAAAGGTTAATTTAGATGGAGGATAGAAACAGAACACTTTAATATTCAGATAAGAATAGTCTTTAAATGAGATAAGAAAATGAACTATTTGGAAAAAATAGTGGAAATAAAATTTCTAGAATTAAAGAAAGATGACCCACCTTAGCTGAGAAGGCAAGAGAAAAGATGAGAAAACCCCACATCCAGGTACAGTATAGTAAATCTTAAGAATGTCAAAACCAAAGAGAAAATTGTAAAAGTTGTCAGGGAGAATGAGGGGATTACCCACAAATATGTGAGATTTGGGATGACGTGAGATTTCTTTATGGCAATACTGGCTGCAAGGCACAGTGCAGTGAAGTTTAAGCATCCAAGGAAAATCACTTTGATCCTAGAATTTCTGTCCTGCCAAATGAAATTCAAATGCAGGTGCGTAAAAACATATCTTCAGACACACAAGTCCTCAGAAGCTTCAATACAGAGAAACCTAAATTGAAAACACACTGGGAGGAAGAATGCAAATAAAAAAAGGACAAATTCAGGAAATTCTGGGACAAGTATAAGATAGAAAGGTGACAAAATGCCTCAGTAAAATGCGAAGTTGTGTATTTTTTTTTAAAGACCAAAGTATAGAAAAACGTTAAGTACGTTCATAATAACTGAGAATGAAAGCTGCACATCTACAGAAAGTATCAAGATTATAAGGAGCGGAGGGAGAGGAGACCAAGAGATATAAAAATATACCAATGTCTTTGTGTTAGTAAGACAGAGATATTAATTTTTTTTACTTTTTGTTATTTTAGAGAAGAGGTCTCACTGTATTGCCCAGACTGCACTCAAACTCCTGGGCTCAAGCGATCCTCCCATTTTGGCTTCCCGAGTAGCTGGGACTATAGACGTGAGCCACCATGCCTGGCAAGATATTAATTTTTTAAGTAAGAAAGAAGAGAAAGAAACATTGAAAAAGTGGAACCAAGTGAAAGTAAAAGGTAAAAGAGTAGAAAAAATTCACATTATATCTACAACCACAATAAATACCAACAGAGTAAACTCAACAGAGGATGCCACCAAAGTGGATTTTTTGAAAACCTGGTTATGTACTGTTTACAAAAATCACTGCTAAAGCATAAATACATAAAATGTTGGAGGGGAAAAAGGATGAAAAAGTATCAGGCATCTAACTAACCAATACAAACTGGTATAGCTATGTCAAGCTCCAACTGAATAGCTTTTAAAGCAAAAAGTATCAATATGGATAGAGAGAATCACTATGTGTGATAAAATGCTCAATTCGTCAAGAAGATATAATACTTCCAAAATTTATGGTTTTGATTTAAAAACATATCCAATATAAGAAACACAATGGATAGAAAACCAGTGAGAAATTGACAAATATTAATATTTGGTAAGATTTCAGCCTACATCTCTTGAGTGTTGACAAATCAGGAAGAGCTATTAAAGATTTGGATTCAAACATTACAATTAATGCACTGGCCTGAAGATTTAAGAAACAAAAACTATATATTATTCTTAAGCACACAGGAACTATTTGTGAAAATTCATTATGTACAGGTTGCAGGTCAAATCTCAACAAATAAAAATTTTTTTAAAAAAAGATTTAAAAATAGGTACCATAAAAACTGTGTAATTTGGCTGAGTGGTAGCTCATATCTGTAATCCCAGCACTTTGGGAGGCCAAGGTGGGAGGATCGTTTGAGCCCAGGAGTTTGAGACCAGCGTGAGCAACATAGCAAGACTCTGTCTCTATATAAAATTAAAAAAAAAATTATTTGGGTGTGGTGGTGCATGCCTGTAGTCCCAGCTACTTGGGAGGCTGAGGTTGGAGTGCGGTGGTGTAACCATAGCTACTGAACTAATGCAACGGAATGAGGTCCCATCTCTAAAAAAAACCAAAATGCCATATATTCTGACCAAAAAGCATCTAGCTAGATTTTAATTGTGGAAAGATGTTTAAAATCCCCATACATTTGGAATTTTTTAATCCCAAATAATTTAAGATTCAAAGAAGAAATCACAATGGCATTTTAACAATGTCCAGAACTGAATGATATTAAAATAGGACATATCAAAATTTGTGAAATGGAATAAAAGTGGCATTTTGAGATAAATTTATCCATAATCACTTTTATAAAGAAGGAAGAGCTATAAATTAATTAACTCTGTACCCAACTTAAAAATTAATAAAAGAACATCAGAATAAACCAAAGCGAGAAGGCAGGTGCTGAGAAAATGAAAGTAAAAATGAAGTAGAAAACAAAGATACAGTGAGAAAATCAACAATCTCAAAAGTTGATTCTTTGAAACTGATAATGAAATAGACAAACAATCAGATTTAGCTAGAAAAAAAAAAAGGTAGGGTAGTCACGAATAACCAATGTTAGGAATGTAATAGGAGAAGTAATCTCACTAAAATCAGTAGTATACAGACAACAGAATGCCACCCATAAAAAATTATAAAACTTAAGTAAAATGAACAAGTCCCTAGAAGAGCCTCACTGCAGAATACATAAAGTGATTGAATTAGAAAAATTGCACATAGAGACACCACCAGGCCTATATAGATTTACAAGTGACATCTACCAATCATTTGAGAAATAAATCATTCCAATTTTAAACTCTGTCTTCCAGATAAAAAAAGAGAGAATAATCCCCAATCCCTCAATATTATCTTGATGCCCAAATGAAAGAAATAGGAGGAGAAAGGAAAATGACAAGTCCATCGGACCCACGCATTTGGATGCAAGAGTGCTAAGCAAAAGGTTCTATCAAGCGGAATCTACTGGGGTATCAAAAAATACATGCCATAAACAATATGTTTTTGTTTTTTTTTTTTTTGAGACAGAGTCTCACTCTCTTGCCTGGGCTAGAGTGAGTGCCATGGGATCAGCCTAGCTCACAGCAACCTCACACTTCTGGGCTCAAGCAATCCTATTGCCTCAGCCTCCCAAGTAGCTGGGACTACAGGCATGTGCCACCATGCCAGGCTAATTTTTTCTATATATATGTTTAGTTGTCAGCTAATTTCTTTCTATTTTTTGAAGTAGAGATGGGGTCTCGCTCTTGCTCAGGCTGGTCTTTAACTTCTGAGCTCAAACGATCTGCCCGCCTCGGCCTCCCAGAGTGCGTGGATTACAGGCGTGAGGCACCATGCCTGGCCAACAATATGGTTTTGTTCCAGGAATGAGGGAGCAGTTTTATATTAGAAAATCTTTAATTTTCATTAACCATGGTAACAGATTAAGGAGGAAAAAAAATCCTATTAGTACATGCGTTTGAAAAGTTCAACAGAAATTTATGGTAAAAATTTAAAGTTATTTAGTGATAGAAAGGAACTTCCTTAACTGGATGAAGGTTAATGAAAACCAACTTATTATTATTATTTATTCTCTCTCTCTCTTTCTCTAACCTATGTATCCAAGAAGCTCAATGAAAAAACCAACTTAAATGGCAGGATATTCTGTGTGTTTCCTTCAAAATCAGAACTAGTACAGGAGGCTCATGATTACCACGTCTATTCCATTTTGACTGGAGTCTTAGCCAGTATATTAAGACAAGAAAACTGAATGAAGTCTTTAGGATAAAGGGAAGGAATAAGGTGTTATCTTGCAGATGATACAGCCATCTAATTTGAAATCCCCAAAGATTCTAAATAATACCCAAGACCAACCTGTGATATTTCTTAAACTGAAAAGCATCGATTAAAAACACTTCATTTTCTATATACAAATCATTTCAACAAATAGGACAGCTCAGCAAGGTGGAAGGACATAACAGCAATTAAAAACGGGACTGAGTTTTGTGCACTGCTCTACCGAGTGAAGGCAATTCTCGGCACCCAGGCAGCTGACACCCAGAAGAAGTGGGTGTCACTCTGAAAAGAAGTACAGTTATAGGGGAGGCCCTAGAGGAACCCAGCAGAGGAATTCAACCCCACGAATGTGGGAAATAAAAAGGAGAAGCTCCGTGTTGCCAGATGGTGGGGAAATGAAAAGTAACCGGCGGCGACTGTTCACATAATCTGCAGCCACCACTGCCCACAGTCTGAGGTGTTACATGGACTTCCGCTGCCAGATGAGGTTAGCTCTGTGTGTTTGCCCCACTCCACCATCAAAGTGAATTATTCAGGCAAGTGGGTCATTTGTTGAAATATGGAATCTTCTAGAAGAAAAATACAGCTGCAGGATATACATGTGGCCAGGTGTTTCCTGCTTAGTACCTGAAGCCCAAAAAGATGAGTTGAATCTTGAAGGAAATAACATTACATTTGTGTCAAATTCAGCTGCTTTGATTCAACAACCTACGATAGTTAAAAATAAGACTATCACTAATTTTTCAGATAGTATCTATGTCTCAGCAAAAGAACAGAGCAGTAGGCTTATTAATAAACTTTAAGAATTCTCCAGCTACCAAAGCAACAAGATCTAAATGGCACTCAAGACTGACATGTGTTGTTTTTTAATTGCAATAAAACAATTTATTTTTTAAAATACTTTCATTCTGCATTCTAGCAATTAGCAATCAGAAAATGCACTTTTTAGAAAGATAACATTTATAATAGTGACAAAAATGATAAATAACAGAGGCTGTGCAAGACTCGCATGAAGAAATTCTATATCTTTCCTGAAAACACTAAAAAAGATTTAAACAAATATAGAGATACTTATTTGAGGGGCTAAGACGACTTAAATTTGTAAACAAATAAATTCTTCCCAAATTGAGCCATAGATTCAATGTAATTCTAATCAAAATAGCAACAGGAGTAGTTTTTTTTTTTTGACAAACTGATTCTAACATTGAAATGAAAAAACAAAAGGCCAGGAATAGCCAAGACAGGCTGGGCGCGGTGGCTCACGCCTTTAATCCTAGCACTCTGAGAGGCCGAGGCAGGCGGGTTGCTCGAGGTAGGAGTTCGAAACTAGCCTGAGCGAGACCCGTCTCTACTATAAATAGAAAGAAATTAATTGACCAACTAAGAAATATATATATACAAGAAAAAAAAAAGAATAGCCAAGACAGTATTGAAGGATATTAAAGAGGAGGTGTTGCTCTATTAATGTCAGGACTTATTTTTGAATTCATAGATTCTAGTGACTCTATAGACAGTTCTGACTTGGGGACAGTAAAATTGACCATTGGAATAGAATAGAGACCCCAGAAAGAGGTGTTGTCTCTATAGAATCTTGATATATGACAGAATTGGCTTGCAGTTCAATGGAGGACAGAGGGAGGAAGTGGGTATTCTAAAAAAGGAGGAACACAGATTGCTCAACACCACACACCACACACAGACGCCAAGTAGGTTAAGCACTTAAATGCCAAAAGCAAAACATAAAACTTTCAACTGTATTTGAACATCTTTCTAATCTTAGAATGGAAGAGATTTTCTTAAATGAGACCCAAGACGCACTCAGTAGAAAAGAGAAGATTGGTGAATATGATTATATTACAATTAAGAACTTAGGTTCACCAAAGGTCACCTTAGGAAAAGTGAAGACAAGCTACTCACTGGGAGTAGGTATTTACAATACATATAACTTGAAAAAAAATTAGTATAAAAATGTATAAAGCCCTCCAACAAATTCAATAAGAAAAAGCCAAACACCCAATATGAAATGGACTTTAGATGTGACCAGGCATTTTATAGAGAGTGTGTACTTATGTAAATAAAATCATAGGGACACTTTTCATCTTCAGTGGTAAGCAAGGAAATGCAAATTTAGACCATACTGAGATAGTGAAACGACCAGACAATTGAGAAAAGCAAGTGTTGGAGAGATTATAGGTCAACAGAATCTTATGGGCATAGATGGGAGTGTGAATGGATACAATTCCTTTGAAAAGCCATTTGTGATAATCTTGTAAAGATGGACATCCACATGCCCTGTGATCCAGCAATTAAATTTCTAGGTAATGCTAAAGAAAAGCTCTTACATGCTCATATAATGAGACATGAATAAGAATATTGGAAACAACTCAAATGGCCATCAATATAAGCTTAGATAGCAGACATAATAATAAAGTGAAATATTATATAGTGGGGAAAATAAATACATTGCAACTATGTACAACAACATAGATTAATCTTTGTGACACAATGTTGGTTCTATTATACAAAGCAAGTCTAGGAATATTGCACGGAGTGTGATATGTGATATTCTTCCTAGGCTCAGAAGCAATTAAAACCAAGTGTATATTTCAAGTATACATTTATGTGACAACACTGGGAAGACAAGGCACAGAACAGTGCTTCCTGGGGAGGGAGCAGGGAGCAACATGAGTGGATGTATTAATAGTTGTACTTAGAAAGAAGGTTGGACAGGACATAGTGATTGGTTGGCTCTGGGAGATGAAGGGGGAGAACAGGAGAGAAGGTGTCTGCCCAGGTGACCAGGGAGCAGCGCCAAGATTTGGCGCTGGTGGTTTGGTGAAATGCCAAGGACCTCAGTCTGGACTTGCTGTGTGGACATGTTTAGCCGCTCCCCCCGCCCCCGCCCCGTGCATGAGAAGATGCCTCCATCACTCACCCAGGCAACTGTACCCATAACAGGGTCATCATCCCTTCCCTCTGGTCTCCTGGCTGCTCGCTTCCTGCGGGCCTTCACGCTAGGGGAGGAAACCAGCAATGCAGCCCGATGGCTCAGGCACGTGTGAGCAGGCTGCCCCCACCCCTGTTAAGAGGGTGACAATGACGACTGAGGCATGCAGGCCCTGGAACTGGACTTGGAGATGCTCCTGACAGGCAGGCAGGGGCTCTATCCTCCCGGATGACCCGGGATTTGGTCAAGGTGGCCAAGGGCTGAATATCCATCACCAAAGACCCTGTCTTACACACAAAAATGTGTACACAAATGATTCTAGCAGTGTTATTCAGAATAGCCAAGAAGTGGAATCTTGGCACTGCCCCAAGGGGTGTCTGCAGAAGGAGGAGAATGCATTCAACCACTTTATGGTTTCTTTTTCATTTGTGGCTAATGAAAAAGTTCCAGAATTGTTTGTGCTGAAGGATGCACAATTCTGTGAATACACCTAAGGCCACTGAATTGTACACTTCCAATGGATGCATTGTGCAGAATGTAAAGTACCTCATAAAGCTGTTAGGAAAAAGAAAGGACCCCTCTGGATCTACTCAGCTCGGTGTTTCTGGGATTCAGCGACCTCTCTCCTACTCCCCACCACACGCCTCCCTCTACCTTCCCTGGGACCATGACTTACCTGCAGAGGAAGACGAGGCACACACAGACAGAGAATGCGGCCATGGCGCCGGCACCCGCAAGGGCCGCGGGAACCACTCCAGCCCCCCAGACCGATTTCCCTGCAGAAGAGAGCCCGAGAGACAGCGCGCTCCCGGGAGCTTCCCCTCCGTGTGGAACGCGCTCCAGGTCCCCATCAGCCAGGAGATGGAAGACGTGTCCTCCACTCCGCCTTCTGTCGGGGCCCCAGCCCCTTCCTCCCACCACCCATCACTCGGCATCCGTGCACGTCCCCTCGGCCACCACCAGCCCCCAGAACGCGCCCCTGACCTGGCAGCAGCAGGACGGTGCCGCTCCGCGTCCCGTGGACATTCCGGGCCTCGCAGCTGAGCCTGAGGCCGGAGCTGAGCCCCCCTGGGAGGCTCAGGGAGCTGTTGGCCCAGGGCCCGGCTGCACTGGGGGTGTCCCTGAAGGAGCCCTGGCTGCCTGTCCCCTCCTGCAGCCCCTCCCCCAGCCGCCAGCGCAGGGAGGGGGCGGGCTGGGCGCGGGAGCAGCAGCTGCAGCGCAGCCCCTCGGCCTCCCAGGAGCAGGAGGGGCCCAGCAGCTGCGGGGGGTCTGTGGGGACAGAGGACAGCGCTCAGCAGGGGCTTCTCCCCTCCTTATACCTTGGGGTTCTGGCCCCAGGTGCCCCTGAACTCACAGTGCACAGAGAGGCTCAGCGAGACGTTCAGGGAGCCCAGGGGGTGCTGGGCGAGGCAGGTGAATTCTCCTCCTTCTGCAGACACTGGGGGCAGCTCCAGGATCCGGGTGTTGGAGAGGGGCGTGGCGTTGGGGGCTGGGGTCCCCTGGAACCAGCTCAGGCGGGCAGGGGGGCTGCTGTCAGCGGCGGTGCAGAGCAGCCGCAGAGCCTGGCCCTCCAGGACCACGAGGGACGACGTGTTTTGCAGGATCTCCAGGGCTTTGGGGAGGGAGAGTGCAAGGAGACAGAGAGATGGAGGGGTGGCCACAGTCCCTTTCCTTCCCCCTTCCCAGGATCCCGGTGACTTCTCCCTCTCTTCCCCTGGCCCGTGCTGGCTCGGTTGCACCTTGGTTAAAAGGCTTGGCCTTTACACCCTCAGGAAGTTGTCCAAAAGTGTGTGGGCCTTTCATCTTCAGAAAAGGCTCGCTATCTTGCTGGTATGTGCTGGACTGTGGGGCGGAGACAGGACAGAGAGCCCGCGGTGGCTTCGGGAAGCAGGTTCAGCTAGCGTGCCAGCAAGCAGGGCTAAGGAGGCTGCAGTGGGCGAGCGGAGGAGGACACGGCCGAGCTCTGGAGACACGGGGCGGGCAAGGGTTTGTCCCCCACGACTGTGGGGTGAGCCGCCACAGGAGGGACGGTAGCCGGACAGGAGGGAGGTCTGCTCGCGGCTCTGAGCAGAGTGACGCTGTGCGCGCCCACGACTGGCACGGGGCTCTCAGGAGGTGGGGGCCAGAGAGCGGCAATTCTCCCTCTTGCTCTGCCCACATCTGCGGCCTTTCCAGCTCTGGTTCCCAACTCTGCTTTCGGGTCCCAGGGCTGGTCCCAGCCCAGAGAAGGAGGGCTTCCCCACCTGTGCCATTTCTGAAGATGCCGACGGTGACGGTGAGGTTCTGTGGGGCATCTGGGGCAGAAAGATATGGCCCAACTTCAGGTGTGGCGTGGACCTGCGTGGGCCCCGCCAGTGCCCAAGGAGGGGCCACGGACACCACCGTGGTGGGGACAGCTGTCCTCGGCCCCTCCCACCTAAACCGCCAAGCTCAGATCCATGCCGAGGTTACACACACACACACATGCACACACAGGCACACACACACAGGCACACATATACACACACACGCACACACAGGCGCACACACAGGCACACACGCACACACAGGCGCACACACACTAGGACACATCATAGTACACACACAGGCCAACACGATCACCACATCAACATCATCACACACCACCATTATACACACAGGCACACACAGGCACTACAACATTGACTACAGCATGCGTACTATCACAGGCATCACACATCTACACGACTATGCAAACACAGTCATCACACAATGGCACACACATGTACACACAAGCACACACAGGCACACACACATGTACACACAGGCACACACACGCACACACAGGCACACACATGCACACACATGCACACACAGGAACACACAGGCACACACACATGCACACACAGGAACACACAGGCACACACACATGCACACACAGGCACACACAGGCACACACATGCACACACATGCACACACAGGAACACACAGGCACACACAGGCACACACATGCACACACATGCACACACACATGCACGCACGAACCCCACTCCCGCTGCCCTCGGGGCCGGCCGTCCCTCCCCCAACTCACAGGAGACGTTGAGCTGGACAGTTCTCTCTGTGGTCACACGCGTTCCCTGGAGTTTCACCTGGCAGGTGAGGTTGGTGCCGTGGTCCTGGGGCCTGGGGGTGAGGGTGACTGCCGAGGAGTGGAGGCTGTCGGGGTCCAGGGCGTGGAGGGCCGCCCCCGACCAGGAGAAGCTGAGAGGCCGGCCCCCCTCGCAGGACCCTGGCAGGCCGCAGCTCAGCTCCGTGGGGCGGCCGGACCGCAGAGGCTCCGGGCCGTGGATGTGGGGTCTCTCCGTCAGGGCTGGGGGCACAGGGAGAGGCCAGGCCCCGCAGCGTGACCTGCCAGGGACCAGGGCCTCGGCCCTGAGCCTGCCCCGAGTCCTGCAGCTCTTGACCACTCCTGCCCCAAGCCCCGGAGCAGGGCACGTCCCGGCGTCCCGTCCCTGCTCTAATGCGGGGACCCCACAGCGCAGGGTCCTCTCCCGGGCCCCTGCCGTACCTGTCACCAGCAGATTCAGCTTACTGCTTTCGTAACTGTATTTCACACGATCGCCACTCTCCACTTGGAAGAAGTAGGTCCCTGTGTCCTCTCTCTTGGCGTCTCTGATGCTCAGGGAGCAGTCTCTGCTCCTGACGTCCCCAGGGACGAGGAATCGGCCCTTGGCGTGTGTCTTCACGTCTCTGCGTGGGTTGTTTGTGGCCACAGGGTCATCGTAGTACACGCTGTCCCCATCGCGGAACCAGTAGAGGTAGAGCGGGTCAGAGGGGGGCCTCGAAGTCCGGGGCGGGTAGGAGAAGGAGCAGGACACGAGGACGCACAGGCCCTCTTGTACCGTCGCCTGCAGCTGGGCCCGTGTGTCCTGCAGGGACCCTGGGGAGACACAGGCTGGGCTCAGCTGCAGCGTCCCCGGGCCGCGTGCCCGGCTGCCTCCCCGGCCCACTCACCCCCCCACAGCAGGGCCAGCAGCAGCGGGGCCAGCATGTCTGCATGGCGGCTGGGCGGCCTGGCCCCACCAGGGAAGGAAACGGCCAACGTGGGGTGGGGCCGGGACCGCCGTACAGGAAGCTGGTGTGTGAGCAGGGCTGTGGCCTCACCAGAGGGAACTTGGTGCCCCTGGGGGTGAGGCGGGGCTGGGAACCCGCCTGTGCCCCGGCCAGGGGTCTTCGGGTGTAGACACAGAGGTCCCCAGAGGGTGAGAGGCTTGTCCAGATGGGATCCTAGAAGTGACCCCTTCCGAATGATGCTTCTCTCAAGAGTGGGATCCCGGGAGCGATGCAGTCAGAAAAGGGGAAGGAGGGCCGGAGCTGTGATTCCCTGAGGTGTGTGTCACACCCACCCTCCAGCTGAAAACCATGGAAAGTTCTGGAAAAGCATTATTTTAAATTTCCTTTACATCGCTCAAGTGTTGACAAGAAAGGAAGGAATTTTGAAACTCAAATTTAGGGGAAGGTGAGAACCCGCGAAGGAGCCGAAGCACTTTTGGCCTCAGGGGGTTTTGAGACACAGCCAGTCCGCTTCTGGCGTTCCTGGGTCTGCGGGGCGGTGGTGAACACAGCCCCACTCAAAATGGGGTGTCTATGGCCGGGCGCGGTGGCTCACGCTTGTAATCCTAGCACTCTGGGAGGCCGAGGCGGGCGGATTGCTCAAGGTCAGGAGTTCAAAACCAGCCTGAGCAAGACCCCGTCTCTACTATAAAAATAGAAAGAAATTAATTGGCCAACTAATATATATATAGAAAAAATTAGCCGGGCATGGTGGCTCGTGCCTGTAGTCCCAGCTACTCGGGAGGCTGAGGCAGGAGGATCGCTTGAGCCCAGGAGTTTGAGGTTGCTGTGAGCTAGGCTGACGCCACGGCACTCACTCTAGCCTAGGCAAGAAAGCGAGACTCTGTCTCAAAAAAAAAAAAAAAAATGGGGTGTCTAAAGGAGAGCCTCACCCCGTTATGTGGGGTCCCCCAAAGGCCATAGAAGCAAATTTGCCACCATAAAGCTAAGCCGCCAGGCGTTCTCCCTGGCAGGGAAGGAGCACAAGGAATCTCGCCCTGAAATATGGTTCCTGGCATAATGAGTATTTTAAATTAAAAGCCCTCAGAGAGCAATGGGCCTTAGCAGAGATTTTTCCCCTGTCTTCATGAAGATAGGACAGACCCACCCAGGTGAGCCATTGCTCTTGCTCCCGCCCCTGTTATCTCATTATCCATTGGGAAAAGGAAGACCAAGCATGTAACCTGAACGGACCCTTTGTAATATAGTGACTGACTCCAAGAATCATTACATTTAAACAAACCACAACTATTGACAGGTAATTTCTGTCCCCAGATCCAGCCATTCTTCCTAGTAATCATTTATTACCCCTCAATAGAGTTCCTCTTCTCCCCCTCCCACATCGTGTTCTGCCAGGATCCAAGCCCCTATTCTTTCTATAACCTCAAGGGGGCATAGAAGCTTCTGGATCCCATGGGGACATTGGCCAATCACTCTGCGCTTCTCCCCATGGTCAAATAAATTTGTATGCCCTTTCTCTTATTAATCCCCCTTATTGGGAGTTGATTTTTAAACAAACCTCCAAAGGGCCAAGGCGTTGGCCTCCACACAAGAATCGCTTTTCAGATCCCGGGCAGGAGCCACAACGTGTAGAAATAACCTGCAATCTTACTGCTCCATTATAAAAGAATCTTTCCCCCAATTTAACAATGATCTTAAAAAATTTTAGACATTTCCAAAACTGAATTGTGAGAGTAAAGAGAGTTTCTTAAACTACCAAGGATCAAAAAAATGTCAATCAGCCACATCAGAAGAAATACTGACTTTTGTTTCTGTTCTACTGTGGTGTTATCATACGTACATAGATATATTGGGGTTTTTTGTTTTGTTTTGTTTGTTTGTTTGTTTGTTTTTTGAGACAGGGTCTTACTTTGTTGCCCAGGCTAGAGTGAGTGCCGTGGCGTCAGCCTAGCTCACAGCAACCTCAAACTCCTGGGCTCAAGCGATCCTCCCGCCTCAGCCTCCCGAGTAGCTGGGGCTACAGGCATGCGCCACCATGCCTGGCTAGTTTTTTCTATGTATATTAGTTGGCCAATTAATTTCTTTCTATTTATAGTAGAGATGGGGTCTTGCTCTTGCTCAGGCTGGTTTTGAACTCCTGACCTTGAGCAATCCGCCCGCCTCGGCCTCTCAGAGAATTAGGATTACAGGCGTGAGCCACCTCGCCCGGCCGATATATTGGTTTTTGCCCACAGTTCCTGGCTCATCATTCCCATAGTCTTTGTTATAATGTGGGTGCTCTGTGCTTCAGGAGACAGAATCTCTCTCTCTCTCTCTCTCTCTCTCTCTCTCTCTCTGACCTCCTTTCACCTGCCCAAGGCAGCACTTTAATCTGATTGTGGGTCAAAAGACCCTCATTCCAGACAGCGACCCATACCACAGCCCGGAGGAGGAATGCTGCACAGGGGGGCTAGGAAGAATCTGAACAGACAAGCCTTGCTGGGCGTAGATCGTGTGCTTTCTGTCCACTTACCGTTTCTACATGGTGGTCAATCACTCCTGTGTTATGAAGCCTCCAGAGAAACCAGAAAGGGACAGGCTTTGGAGAGCTTCCGGAAACCTGGATGCGAGGAAGTGCCTGGAGGGTGGCGCCCAGGAGGGCACGGAAGCCCTGCTCCCCTTCCCGCACCTCGCCCTACGCGTTTCTGTACTCGTTTTATTATCCTTATAATAAACCAGCAAACGAGTCAGTGTCTCGCCGAGTTCTGTGAGCCACTCCAGCAAATTAATCAAGCCCAAAGAGGGGGGTGTGGGCACCGCAGTTTGAAGCTGCTTGATTAGAGGTTCCAGGGGCCTGGACTTGCAACTGGTGTCAGGGACGGCGGTGTTGAGGACTGCGCCCCCACCCTGTGGCACGCCCAGCTGGGGCCCGCTGCTCGTGTGTGGGGAGAGACCCCACAGATGGTCACAGAAGCCTTCTTCTGTGCTGACGATTGTTATGATGTGAAAATACAGGAAAAACACAATTTGAGAGATTTTCCTCAAACATCTATCTATAAAAATTATATTATAAAATTATTCTTTTATTAAAAAAAAAAGAGGATCAGGCCGGGCATGGTGGCTCACGCCTGTAATCCTAGCACTCTGGGAGGCCGAGGCAGGAGGATGGTTTGAGCTCAGGGGTTCGAGACCAGCCTGAGCAAGAGCAAGACCCCGTCTCTATTAAAAATAGAAAGAAATTAGCTGGACAACTAAAAATCCAGAAAAACTTAGCCGGGCATGGTGGTGCATGCTTGTTGTTCCATCTACTCGGGAGGCTGAGGCAGGAGGACCACTTGAGCCCAGGAGTTTGAGGTTGCTGTGAGCTGATGCCACGGCACTCTAACCTGGGCAACAGAGTGAAACTGTCTCAAAAAAAAAAATAACGATAAAAGCAGTCAAATATTATAAGTCAAGAAAAAAGTATGCAACTGTACCAGACAGATAGACTATACTATTAATAAAAATAGTGTGTCATTTTTCTGAATTGTCTTATATTTTGGCATTTTCCAGAATTTTGGTATTTTTCAGGTTTTGGGATTTGATGTGAAGTGTTTACTCATTCCAAAAATAATCTATGTGTGCCAAATTTTTTATTTTTTTCTAAAGGTTGACAAACTTTCTCTCCTTGACCAAACTTATTTTTTTGATAAATTAAAATATTTATTATTTTTAATTATGAGAGAATTATATGTTTTTTCAAAATATTAAGGGGGGTACAAGTGCTTTGTTGCATGAATGAACTGTATTATGCTGAAGTCAGGACTTTTAGTATACCTGTCACCAGAATAGTGTACACTGTACCTGAAGGTATGTTTTTATCCCTCTCTTTCTTCCCACCTTCCCCCTTCTTAGTTTCCAATGTCCTTTACAGCACTTTATGACCGTGTGTACCCATTGTTTACCTCCCACTTATTAGTGAGGACATGTGGTGGTTGTTTTTCCAGTCCTGAGATACTTCACTTAGGATAATGGTCTCCAGTTCCACCCAAGTTGCCACAGAAGACATTATATCATTCCCTTTTATGGCTGAGTAAGTAGTCCATGGTATATGTGTGCCATATTTTCTTTATCCACTCATTAATTGATGGGCACTTAGGTTGATTCCATATCTTTGCTTCAATGCTTGTGCTTCAGTGCACATTTGGGTACAGGTGGCCTTTTGACAAAATGACTTCTTTTCCTTTGGGTAGATACCCAATAGTGGGATTGCCGGATCAAATGATAGGTCTACTTTTAGTACTTTGATGAATCTCCACACTGTTTTCCATAGAGACTGTGCTCATTCACAGTCCCACCAACACTGCATAAGCATTTCTTTTTCACTGCATCTCTACCAACATCTATTGTTTTTTGGATTTTTTAATAATGGCCATTCCGATAGGGATAAGGTGATATCTCATTGTGATTTTTATTTGCATTTCCTTGATAATCAGTGATGTTGAACATTGTTTTTATAAGTTTCTTGGCCATTTTTCTATCTTCTTTTGAAAAACCTGTTCATGTCTTTTGCTCATTTGTTAATGGGGTTATTTTTATTGTTGATTTGTTTGAGTTCTTAGTAGATTCTGGCTATTAGACCTTTGTCGGATGTATAGTTTGCCAATATTTTCTCCCATTCTGTAGGTTGTCTATTTACTCTGGTTATTTCCCTTGGTGTACAGAAACTTTTTAATTTAATTAAGAGTCATTTATTTTTGTTGTTGCTGTATTTGCTTTTGGAGTGTTAGTCATAAATTTTTTCCCTAGACCAATGTTCAGAAGAGTTTTTTCTACATAGTCTTCTGGAATTTTTATAGTTTCAGGTCTTACATTTAAGTCTTAAATCCATCTTGAGTTGATTTTTTTGTATATGGTGAGAGACAGGGATCCTGTTTCACTCTTCTGCAGGTGGCTGACCAGTTTAGCCAGCACCATTGATTGAATAGGGCAGCCTTTCCTAAGTGTATATTTTTGCTCGCTTTGTAAAAAAAGTCAGTTGGTTGTAGTTATATGGCTTTATTTCTGGATTCTCTATTC